TTTCTAAGATAATTTGTCTATATTTAAAGAAATCTATATAGATTTAATTAATAGTCTTAAAGATTGTTTATTGGAAAATGTTCCATAATTGTAAATTATGATTAGAAAGTTTATATTATAAACACACCGCATGTCCTTTGGAATTTTTATTTTAAATAGAGCAGACATCAAAATGCATTATGCAGGTATGTAATAACTACTATACATAGGCCTATCATAATTTACAAAAATGTTAAATGATAATTCAAGGTAGGGTAATCCATGAGACTAATAATTTGTACAAAATAATAACCATAATATAGGGGCTATTGCCCCTACAAGCCACTAGTATGTTATCATTGTATTTGAAAGTAAACTGATAGGTAAACAGAAAAAGTAAATATTAAAATGACAGAAGGGAAACAGGCTATTTTTATGAAGAAAGGTGTTTTCTTTTAAGAAATAAATCATATGTTAGGTAATCTTAACAAATTTTGACTTGTATATTTAAAATACATGAAAACTTTAAAGTCCAATGGGGCGAAGCACATTGAACTGATCGTGACAAAAGTTATTCCATGACATCTACAGAGAATTCCCTTTAATTTGACACCTTAATCATCAAAATCGGTTCATAAATAAAAGAGTTTTGCTGTGCACAAGAAATTCCTTACGGAATTAGTATAATAGATGATGTTGTCGTCAAAATACACAAATATAACATTTAACACACACGGCATACATTAATACGAAAAATGCACGGCCACTCATAACTTGCACGACAGACACGACTCAACTATCGACTGCCGCTAGTTGAGTCTTAAAATTATTTTTATCCCTATTTACAGAGTGTTCAAAAACGTACAAAAAAATATACCTTTGAACTACTTTTCACTGCAAAGAGGTGGATTTTGTGGGGGTTCATATTTTGATAACACTGTAATTGCTTTAATGAGATTTCAAAAAAATGGGGTTTCAATCCATTTCCTAACTTTTTACTTACCGTACCTATGTTACACATTTTCAAACTTTTTCAAGTTTCAAAAGCTGTTATATCAAAAATGTCAAATGACAGCATGAGTTTCATTACAAACCACATTGTAGCCCTTAAAATTAGCTACAATTTTTGCATTTAATGTTTTTTGTCATCTTATTGGTTAAGGGGCTGTAGCGAAATTAGTGTATTTTAATATGTCGACTGAAAGACCAGCTAATACTTGCCTAATTACAATAATATCCCTACAAATAATAATTGAGCAAGCTGCAAGCATAAAGAGAAATATTAGCTGGATTTATTGAGGAATAACACACACACAGGATTGATTCTAGGAATAATAATTTAAGACACACTGATAAATGTTTGGGTAAAACTTGCCCATTGCCTTAATTCTGACCCATGATGAATGAGCTGTTGAACTCCCCTTGAAAAACCGAAGGATATAAATGTAAGTTTAATTATTAGACCTTTATTAATCACTAGCAGAGTACCCGTCCTTCGTACGGGGTTGGAATTTAAGTATAAAATGCTTATTGCAGTTATACTCAAGTTTTGCGTTTGCAATAAGGGAGGACCAAGTTTGATAAAAATTTTTTTTTTAATTTACAGTATTCTATAGTATTACACATCTACCATAGCCATAATGTTCTACCACTTCACCTAAACAATAGAGAAAAATAAATTATCAACAATTCGCAAAATATCACAAATTATTCATGTGGCTAGTTGGTTCAAATTAGCTGTTGTCATAAATGCAAAAAAATAATAGTGCTGCACCCTGTAGGTAAACCTTAAATCCTGTTAAAGCTATTTAATATCATAGAGCTAACTTGTGCAGTTGAAACAGCTGGCAAAATTCTTTAATTCCTTTTGGATATATTTTTATCAAATTTGGCAAATTTATTTATTCTATACTAAGCTAATAGTATTTTCCTAAAATCACCCTTCGTATCCCTCCCTGTAGCTAGATACTCGTTAAACCCAATTTTATTGAATTAGATTTAGTTGAAAATAGGCTGCAGGTGTGCTGCGGCGGGGGTATTATGGAATTGCAATTGATGTAGAAAGAAGACTTTGTGGTAGTACATGATCTAAACATGATGTACATGATCTAAGTTAAGATACTAAAAAAATTAATCCCGTCGGTCCCAATTAGTAGCGTCGGTCACTTAAAAATTTTACTGGCGCTACTGCAACCAGCACCGCTATTCGTATTCGCTAGCAGCTATACCCGTGCCTTGCAATGGGGTCAGTATGCAAAAGAGTTAATGCTGGGTCTTTGAAAATGCCAAATGGTTTCACTCCCTACCATTTATTTTAGAAACAAAATTGATCTGTATTGGCCTACTTATAACTTGATAATAGTAATAGGTCTAGTACTTGTTTGTTAACTCATACTGTGAATACTTATTTAAGCTACCACAAAACCAATGATATATTTCAAGGTATAATAAAAGAACCTGTTTAATGGTTTGGACTGTAAACGAATAGCTATCACAATAGTTTCAAACCTGTCAATAGTGTAGTTTTCTAACATATTTTAGGGAAATGACAATCAGGCAAATGGAAATTCGCTAGTCTATAGGTTGGCTGCAGCAGGGATATTAAATTACTGTTTAAACAAAAATAAATCTAAAACATAATTCTCATACAACTCAGGATAAGGGCCTAGGTTGATACAGCAATGATTGTAGAATCTTAATTATTTCCTTTATCCATGAATTAGGCCTATTTCTTTTTCAATGAAATATTCACTGTAAAATATTACAAATATTAGAACAGACTCAGTATAATAGCTGATAATAGATTATAAAAATAAACAAATTATGTTACTGAAAGAATCCTATTATAATGAAATGACATTAACATATGGTTTGACAGCTCCATTTAAGTAATGTTAAATAATGTTTACATTCAGGATAGTGACATCATTATTTTAAATATGATCCTTACCCTCTCTGTTCTAATATTCATGCAGTATTTAAATGAATGTTTGAACCAGCTGTATGGAATTGTGAAATCAAAATTAATTTGACAGTTAGTACTGCTTGTTTACATTTTTAAACTTTGTAGGTTTGTTCTTTGTTGTCATGGATACCATCAATCAAAATTTACTTTGAAATCTCTCACCTCCGATTTTTGAAAGCCAACGGGGCATAGCCCTAGGACAATATTGATGCGGGAATAGTTCTATATGTATCCTCGGAACTGTAGCTTCATGTGTGTGCAATTTGAGCCCAATAGGTTCAGTAGTTTTTGAGATTAGCTCATACAAACACACACACACACACACACAGACACCACCTCTTCTTTATAATAGTATAGATAGATTAAAACAAAACCCCAATATTCATTTCGAAACACATGATATACTCCAATCCCTGCCTGGGGCACTGTGAGGAAATCCTTAATCAGCAAAACAAAGCTGGTAAATATTTGTCATCTTAGAAAACAACATTTCCAGTGTTGTACTTTTATCTTGTAATCTATCTTATAACTGAAACATTCTTGAGTCTGTATTTGAGAATTTATTTCTAGTTTCGTTACATATATCAGACAGTATGCTGACTTTTAGCGAATTTCCCTATAGGGAAGTAGCTATTACCGTAGGTGGCACGGTAAGACCTAGACCCGGGACCGATTTACTTTTTCATTTTGATGTCCCCAGAGGCCAAAAACACTATTCGTTCAAATTTTTATATATGTATATATATATATATATATATAGACTTATATATATACGTCCGTGAACGCGATAACTTGAGTAATTTTTGTCCGATTTTGATGAAATTTGGTTTAAAGGTGTAAAGCGGGATAAACTTGAATGAGTTCGCGAACCAGCACTATCGGACCATGGGAACGGGGCTTTACAGGGGTTTTATGGGGTAAAAATTGGTTTTTCTCACTTTTGACCCTCAAAACACCAAATTTCCCAATTTCTCTTTAGACCTTTTTAAAGAGCTTAAAAAAACAAATAATTTAGTGTATAAAAGTATTTTTGTTCGATTATTAGTAACGGAGAAAATTAAAAAAATTGTAAATTTAAAATTCCCATGTTATTCTTATGGAGAATATTGTCAAATGTTGTAGTTTGCTTGTTTATGGATATACTAGCTGTAACCCACGGGCTTTGCCCCGTTTAACTTCTTAATTTTCAAGATTATCTCGTTCGCATGGCTCAATCACGTCCTGGTTGAAGTTTGTTCGCAACGCTCACTCACCTTTGGGTTGGAGCTCGTTCGCTACGCTCACTCACCTTTAGGTTGGAGCTCGTTCGCTGCGCTCACTTGCCTTCAGGTTAGCTCGTTCGCTACGCTAACTCGCCTCCAGGTTGAAGTTCGTTCGCTACGCTCACTCACCTTTTGGTTGCAAATTAGCTGTTGTCATAAATGTAAAAGAAATAATAGTGCTGCACCCTGTTGGTAATCCTTGTAACTTTAATGCTATTGAACATCATAGAACAGAACCAACTTGTTTAATTGAAACAGCTGTTAAGATTCAATAATTCCATTTCTCATAAGGTTAACATGGGAAACTCCAGAGCCACTGGGGCGGAGCCCGAAAGGATTTTTGAAATAAGAATATGCCTATATGTTAATCGGGAATGTGAGCTATCATCGTGCCAAATTTCAGCCCAATCCGACCAGTATTTTTCGCGTTCACTTGTCACAAACATACATCCATACATCCATCCATACATCCATACATCCATCCATACATCCAAACTTTCTCATTTATAATATTAGTAGGATTTTGATCAAACTTGGCAAATTTATTTATTTTGTACTAAGCTATCAATATTTTACTCAAAAACAAACTTTATTAGTTTCCTTGTAGCAGCAAACCTAGGTACTCGTTAAACCTAATGTTATTAAAATATATGTAACTGAAAATCAATTCAGACAAATGGAAATTCGCTTAGTTGGCAGGTTTGCTGCAGCGGGGGTATTTAATTTCTAAAAACAATTCAAACCTTACATATTCAAGTCTTTTAATTAATCCATTAATCCCTGTTTGGTTGCAGATTGTCCAGAAGCTTTAAAATGGTAACATGACTAAATGAGTTAAAAAAAACTTAACATACCCTACCAACAATGAAAAAGTTACCACATAGTTTAGAGAAAGTTTTAAAGTATCTTTTGAATAAGAGAAGAACTTTAAAAATATGTTTATACATTAGTTTAATGGTGGTTACACTCATTGGAACATCAGCTTTCCGAACAAAAAAAGCTATATACGTGCACATACCAGAAGATGATGATATAAGACTAAACGAAGCAATACCACCTTCTCAGGTTTGTATTTACATTTAAACATTTATATTTAACACCTCATATTCAAACTTTGATAGCCATATTCAGTGAATATTTATATTTATATACTCACAAACAAACAGCTTTAGAGTCACAGGGTGTAAGCTGCCCATGTTTTAAACGGTTCATCAGAAATGTCATGTAAACTATCACAGCATCAACCATACTGTGGGAGAAAAATAAATACAGCTGGAGTGTTACGAAAATATGTTTTTTTCCTATTCTAAACATATACAATTTTGCCTGTCCTAATAATTACTTTTCATCACTCCTTAACGAAAGTAACTATTTTCGGTAACAGCTGATATCAATGAAAGTAGTCGTTTCTCAAGCTCTAATTTAGGGCGAGGGAAAATCGATCAGCTGATTTTCCCTCGCTCTAAATTTACTTTCCCTCGCTCTCAATTAGTTCTCCATTTATTCACTACGCGCGCCAGTGTTTTGTTACGGTTTAATTTAATGATTTTAATCAGCTGTATGTATTTTTAAAAGTTGTGTTATTCTTTTATTTTGATGTTTAAACAAAATTTATTGAGAAATATACGTAGGTTTCTTTTTAGAAGATTTTATTTTATTTTGATGTTCCATCAAATTAATTGAGAAATCAAATTGTTTTAATATACTGAGGTCTGCTATTCTGTGTTTGTGTATTTTTGCATCGTGATGAAAAGTATCGTTCATAACTCGTACCGAAAGTTATTATCCGGCACTTGCTCCATTATTCCCGTCCTCGGCTTCGCCTCGTACGTGAAAATAGCTCTCACATAATCGGATTCGCCTCGCACGTAAAATTGGGGTTCCCTGTGTTCGGCTTCGCCTCACACAAAAACTTGGGCGCGCGACGGAAAATGCCACTTTCGGTCCTAGTAATGAAATATACTATTCCCTGTCCCAAACAAACTGTTTACTTTCCCAAACAAATTATAACATTTCCGTTCAGCTCAACAGGAGTGCCAGTGTATGTATTCTTTTATTACAGAAAAAATATCTGACAGCTGGTTTTTAAATAAATTATTAAAACAATATAAAAACTTGAATAAAAAATGATAATCCATTGACAATATTTAGGTGGTTTTAGGGGAAGAAATCTGCCCCATCCACTTGATCCTACCTATAAAACAATAGCAGCTGAGGTTTACCAAAATGACAATCAGCTGCAACATATGTTAAGCAAAAAAGTAGTAGAGGAACTTCCCCTTAAACTGCTTAATTTTTGTGAATGAAGTATACAGGGTGGCAAGTATAGTCGAGTTTGGTATCATTTTACAGGTCTTGACGAAACAAAACAATTGGCATAAAGAAAACGAAGATCGGCCCACTAATAACAAAATGGCGCCCTAAAACATATCAAATCTAAATAACCATGAGGGTGGCTAAAAATTAACCCCCCTTCACCTTTTTAACTATTTGAGATAATTGAAATCGTTTTGCGGCAACCTGTTTCGATATGAAGGGCTACAATAATTATGGTAAATTTAAAAAAAATTTCCCTTAGGGGTAGTGGGGGTTGGGGGTAGCTCAACATTTTCAAACAGGAAGTATGGTCGAGTTTGGTATCATTTTACAGGTCTTGACATAACTAAACAATTAACATAAATAAAATTGAAATCGGACCACTAAAAACAAAATGGCAGTTAAAAATTACTTTTAATAACCATTGTTTTAATCATATTTAGCTGCCATTTTGTTATTAATGGTCCGATTTCCAAATTACAAATCACCACAACTTCCTGTGATTGCGTTCTTTTAGTTCTGGGAAACTTAAAAAGTGGACCAACTGAATACCTTAAATGAATTGATGCTTGGTTATAGGTCATTGGTAATTATTCCATATTGTTCGGTTCCATACACAATTTACAGACTTTTCCCTGGGCATCCATTATTCACAAAGTTAAAGTTAAAGCTGGTCCTTACAGGGTGTTTTTTTTTTTAACTTGCATCTTTATTTATGTAAAAACTGCAATAGTTAGAAATATGCAGTTGGCGGGAATCATCTATTGAGGTAGGGGGCACAATTTTTTTGAACTCAACGTTACATTCACATTCCCCCCCTTTCCCACCTGCCCCCAACTTATTTTTTTTAAATAGCAAGGTACCCCTTGTGACATATCAAATAAAATAGCATGAAAAAAAGAAAATGTTTGATGAAAAAAAAATTGAAAATCGGTTCATAAATTTGTGAGATATTCCCCCCCTCCCCCCCCGGAACTTAATTTTTTTTTAAAGCAAGGTACCCCTTGTGACATATCAAATGAAAGAGCATGAAAAAAGAAAATTTTTGGTGAAAAAAAAAATTAAAATCGGCTCATGAATTTGTGAGAGAATCCCCCCCCTTTTCCCCTACCCATAACTTGTTTTTTAATAGCAAGGTACCCGCCCTTGTGACATAGCAAAAGAAAAAAAATTTCACCAAAAATTTTCTTTTTTCATGCTCTTTCATTTGATATGTCACAAGGGGTACCTTGCTATTACAAAAAAATTAAGTTCAGGGGAAGGGGGGGGGGAAATATCTCGCAAATTTATGAACCGATTTTCAATTTTTTTTCATCAAACATTTTCTTTTTTCATGTTCTTTCATTTGATATGTCACAAGGGGTACCTTGCTATTTAAAAAAATTAAGTTGGGGGCAGTGGGGGAAAGGGGGGGAATGTGAATGTAACGTTGAATTCAAAACAATTGGGCCCCCTACGTCAATAGATGATTCCCGAAAACTGCATATTTCTATCTATTGCGGATTTTATATAAATAAAGATGCAAGTTTTAAAAAAAACACCCTGTATATCCAAATACATGTGGTGCCTATTTCAGGATAGAAAATCAAAGGTGGTACTGTAGAAAGCGGTAAATTTTATTTATATAAACAGTTTTATTACTTTTGATTATTTTGTTGACACTTTGTATTGAATTTGAATGGGCTACTTCTATAGCCTAGTGACATATCGCTGATTTTGCATGTTTACAGTGGGAAGGGTCTAGCAGGTCGCCCCAAGGTTCGTCCACGAGATCGTTCAGTGAGATGTTGTCATCCGTACCAGAGCTGAGCGACCATGTACTGTTCTTTAACAGAGTGCCCAAGGCGGGCAGTGAGATGTTGGTCCTACTGCTGCAGTGGATGCAGGGACTGAACGGGTACAAACACGTCAGACTGGCTGGTGGCAACACTCGCAGGTTGACCAGGCAACAACAGGTACATAGATAGGACTCCTCGTACCACAAACGGTACAAGATGTATTTCAGTGCATATTGCAGGCACTTGTATCTGAACTGAACTAGTTTACTAATTATATACATGCTTGCTTACTGAAGTGTATTGGATAATCTATGACATTACCTAAGCTCATTTTACAACAAACCAGATGTACTAACATGTGTTTCCAGACATGGCGTGTTTTGTACTATTGACTATTGATGCCAGGGCAGATGAACACCATATGGACTATAGTTGTTACCATTTTTATAAATAGGACACGAATCAACCTCTAATGGAGTGAGCTACTGCCAGAGTATTCTATTTCTCTCTTGTTTTCTCTATGGACTTAAAGATATAACATCAAAGTTGCCCAAGTTATCAAAACTGACCTAACAATATGGCAAGGTTGAGTTGGTGTATTCAACGGCAGAAGTCTCTTTTGTCAGAAGATCAGATCAACTACATTAACTCAACTCTAACACATAAGAACTACACACTAACTTGTCTCCATTTATATCATTGTCAAAGTTTGTACCAATGCAAAATATCACAATGTAAGTAGTTTGAATTTTACATTTATCACATTGACAAACATTAACAATTTAATTTTGCATGGTAATAACATTTATCATATTACTTTTTTAATTTGAAAACTAAATATCTATCATTTGAAATGTATAAAAAAGTGTAAATTCCAGAAAACAATTAAGCCATGAATATTACAATTCTTCAATTCCATAAAAATGTATTTATGGGAGGAAGTTGAGTTGGAGTCATTTTAATTGTTTGATCCCAAACTCCTGGAGGAAGGCTGACGTTTTTACCTTTGTGAAGGAAACTTGGGCATGACATTATACGAATGGCAAGCAGATGAATTACAAATTTTAACCTTAGAGTGGTGTTTCGGTCTGTGAGTCCGATGACATAATATTTTCAAGTTCCTGCTCCCTCCGCTTGGGTTCAAGACTTGCCCTCCTGCTATCTTCCTACTTCGACTCTACCACTAACACCAGACTCAAGGGTGTAATTTTGAGGTCACAGATTCGTCTGCAATTGTGTACTTCGGTTCCTCACACCGTAGACACCTAAAATGAATAGTACCATTGACTATTGGATAGTACTATATATAATGTAATACTATGTACAATACTATAATGTGTTACTTTTATATAATGTAAAATTAGAATATAATTGTAATAATTTTTTTACACGGTTTATATCTTGTATTTCCTTCCATAGTTATATACATAAAATATTTATAAAATACAAAAACGGTCTCACAGTCCGAAGACACCAAAGGTAACTAATCAAAGTCGCCATGGTAAAAAAGGCATTATTTTGAATTCTCAGTCAAACGTAAAAAATATACGGGATTCTGATGGTTTATGTTTTTTTACATCAACTAGTCCATAAACTTTCATAATAAATCAGTAAAGGATTTAGTAATTTAAAACAGTATTTTCTAAAAAAGGTTTACTTGATCAACTTTTGATTAATGTATTAGTTTTTTTTTTCAAAAATATATTACCAATACTCAGAGAAGTTTTATTTCACGATAAACCTCATACAACTGTAAAAATATGATTATAGTTATACAACAAATAAAAAAAAACCGGTCTCACAAACCGAATACCTACACTAATGTGTAATAAACATCAATACACCTCTCTAGGGCTAATGGCAAAAGTAACATGAATGTTTAAGAAGATGCCTAAATAGAATTTACAAAATTATTTGAAAAGCAGTGGTTAAAAAATACACACTGTTTCAGTCATTGAAACAGCATACAAAAAAAAACTTTCAGACCTTTAGTCTGATGAGGAATTATTGAAAGGTCTGGACCATCGGATGCCAGATTGGCAGACTTTTACTAAACCCTCAAACCCTGTATTGAATTATAAATCATTTTTATCATACAGGAGAGGTTGGTTGAGAAGATCACACAGACCCTGCATGATGCAACGATTCCTCTATCTTTTGACAGACATGTGTATTTCATCAACTTCACGTCTTTTGGTCGTCAGTCACCAACATACATAAATCTGGTCAGAGACCCTGTGGATAAGGCTGTCTCAAGGTATAAAAGTCTTTATTTATTTCAAATTTAGTTAAAATTGTGTGCTTCATTATTTTATTGACATTAATAGCAGGCATATTAATGTTTGTTTACAAGAAATAAGCAATTTTGAAGGGTGAGTGAGGGTGAACTGATTAAATAAAGGACAAATTCAAGTTTTGTTGATTAAAATATCCCCTTAAAATTGTCAGATATATTTCCTATTTAAATAACATTAATTTTAATGAGTACTTAGGTTTGCTGCTACTTGAGGAGTGTTTTTTTTTTTATTGAAATGTTAATAACACACTACTGTATATGAAAGAAAAGCAACTTTTCAAATTTGATTAAAATATATCCATAAACAAGCAAACCACAACAGTTTTATTCTCCAAAAGATTAACACGGAATTTTCAAATTTACTATTTTTTTTAAATCATCTCCATATAACCGTTAGGCATACAACAATGCTTCAATACACAAAATTATTTATTTTTTTTAAGCTCTACAAAATAATTTAAAAATTAATTGTAAAATCTTATGTTTTTGGGATCAAAAATGGCAAAAACTAATTTTTACCCAATATACAATACAATATAATCATGCTGGTTAATATAATCCTTCAAATAAATGTATGTTTACACGTTTGTACAAAACTCCATCATAATCAAATGATTTTCGCTTGAGTAATCTTGGTAACGGACCTCTACAAACATATATATCCAACGAAGGGTGTTTTTTGCCTCTGGGGACCTCAAAATGAAAAGGTTAAATCGGTCCCGGATCCAGGTCTTGCCATGAGACCTGCGTTAATAGCTTATTCCTTATATGGAGAAATCCGTTGATAGAAAAATAGGAAATATCAGACAACCTACTCCAAAGAGAAACCATATTATCATTCTTTAATAACATGATCAAATTTGACACACCTAGAATTTCTAAGGACTGTTACACTTTCCCACATTATGTTTCAATCCGTTGAAACTAATCAATTAATGAAGTGTTTCAATTAGATGAATCATTATTGATGCTCTTAGACAACATTAATGATGGGAACTAAACTTGGGATGGACAGCCTAGTGGGAAAACTGATGCAGGCTCTATTTTCCCAGTGTGGCCCAACATTGAATAACTCTATTAGATAAGGTTAGTCTGGGAAAGTTACGTCACTCAATGTTTACAAACAACTTAACTGGTGGAGTTTACAAGATAAAATCTGTTTCCATACAGAAGGGAAAAAGGCACAATTATTGACTTGAAAAGAACCTGCTTTGTAGATGATTCCAAACACCCCTGCTGCAGCAAACCTGTAGACTTACTGTAAATATAACATTATATTTTACGAGTGCTTAGGTTTATTGCTACAGGGAAGGACAAATGTATTAATTTGATCTCATTTTAATTGTATTGGACGAAATAAACTCATTATTTATCAAAATCGGTTGGGTCTTATTTCGAGGAACTCCTATTTTTCCTCTAAAGGGTTTATGGGTTTTATGGGACAACCAACTTTAAAAATCAAAATTTTGAAAAAATGATACATGGAGATACAAGTACCTACATACCAAATTTCATTAAAATGGGACTACAGCTAGGTGTGGTCTGTAGCTTTATACACATCCACACACACCAACACACACACACACACAGACATCACTCTGAAAATTTTGATGAAAACAATACTATGGTATAGGGGGAGAAAGTAAAAATACTTTGTATTGTTGAACATCCAAGGATCTTTGAGATCAAATTTTAATTTAATGTAGACCAAGAATAATTTCTTTTGAGTCCCTAAAAAGAAATGTTACACAATCTCAATAGTTAATATAGTCTGTTACTTGTAAGGGAAACATTTTGCACTGTAATGTATGTGTTCTAATTTGAACTTTTGGGCTTAAACTTTCAATAGTTTTCAATAACATAACAATGCCTATTCATAATGTAATGATGAGAAAGTCAACAAATTCCTTGTTTTAGCCAAATATCTATGGTGATTGATTATCACCCGTTTCTATTTCCGAAACCATTTTCCTTCAACAAATTTTAAAAACTGTTAAACCAAGAAAGTGAGATAAACCTTGCACTTATATTTAATGCTATTCTCGCTTGGTGAAGGTATCTCTCCTTGAAACATTATAAATGCACTCAGCAGCAGAAAAGAGAAACCACAACTATAATGCTCATAATGTCTGTCAATTTCGTAAGCAGTAATCTTCACAAGTCAAAACAATTTTAGAATGTTTGTGTTAGGCATGGCATTGACACAACTTATGTTGATGCGGCTTTTAATCTACAGATTTTCCAGTGAAAAATAAAACTATATTCTTAAAAAACTAAAACTAATTTCAACTACTTTGGTTTTAAAACTTTTACCTTAAGTAGCCGTTTCAGTTCAGTTCTTAGAATTGAAAAGTGTATCTCATAACAGCATTGTTTACTTTCATAACAGTATAGTTTTTCATAACAACACCGGTAAGGACCAAAATGAGGTTAAAGAATGGGGGAGAAGAAGTAAATGATAATTATTTGAAATTCAACTAATCAGCTGTTCAGGCCAATTTAATTGTTGAGTGGTGTTTGTTAAATGTTTAGTTGCATCACTGACAGTGGCGGTGAGAGGTTATAAACGAAAAAATAACCTCTATTAGAAGTATGAGAAGTGATTTTTAGTAATTAAAACACTGTCGTAGGTAAAGTAGTGTACACAACTCGCGTAAATAACACGACACTCGTAGAAGTTTAAGAATTTAAGAATTAATTTCTAGAATTTAAGAATTTAAGATTTAAGTTTAAGAAGAATTTTCTACTCGAGTTGTTAACACTATCTTTACGCTATCGCAATCGTTGTGTAAACTACTATTTGAAACATTCTACCTGCCGCATTATAAATTACCATCCCTAGAAAATCATTATCTTTATGTAAAAGAAGTGATGGACAAAGTCGTTGTTTATTCCCCAGGCATTCAGTGTAAACCTTGGTCCACAGTGTTTTTACTTAAGACAATTACAACAAAAACAACTAATAAATCTCACTATTTTAAAATAGTCTGTTTTATAAATATTGAATGAAATTTCAATTTAGTATTTCTCAGCAAGCCTGCCCTGGAACAATCATGCATGTACTGTACTTCTGCACCTGAGAAAAGTCACATCTTTTTGATGGTTCGAAACTGGACCCAGCTGTTCCTCCTGATCATTGGGCTTTAAATAAATGATCCTGACTGAAAAACGGCAACAAATCTTAATCAGTAATAAAGCTACACAGATCTCAAGTGATACTGAGTGTTTTATTGAATTCTACACTTGTATTTGGGTTAAAATACGTACCTAGGTGGCGCGCCCATCCAAGGACCCACTCGAAAAACTTGCTGTAGGATCCGTGACGTCACATTTGTGGTTAGATTCACTACCATAACCCATGGGTCAAAATCCGTTACATGCCCACAACTTTATTTTTTCCAATACACTTCTATAACTTATTAAAACCTTTTAAAGGTAATAATAATAAATCGTTTTGAGTAACTGGAAATACATTTTGTAAATACCTGGAAATGATTCCAGTCTACAACAATGCACTCTGTTATTGAAAAAGTATGTTTTGTACACTAATGTTCATATTAACAGGTTTTAGAGTTGTGGGAACGTAACGGATTTTGACCATCATATGTTTTAGTTTTAGGTAAATAAGCTGGCTGTTTATGTCGGTAAACTTAAGTACAACTATCCATCACTGTGACGTAGTGTTGTGCTGTCCGCGCTGCAGCATGGTCTGTATTACTTGTGGGCCCCATCTCAACTAATTAATCATTTATTGCAATAGGTACTTCCTGGCCTTAGATATAGCCTACATAATTGTATAATTAATAATTTATAATTGTGTAGTTAATAATTTAATGCTACATTTTATAGTTGAAAACAGGCAGACTTCAGTTACAGTAATAACGTAATTGTTGTGATTGTTCCAGGTTTTACTACAGCAGAATCACTCCAAGTCCTCTCAACCCTGACCTGCACAATATTAAACCTCCCAAACCTAGACACAAGACTGTGCAGAGCTTTGAGGAATGTGTCTTGACCTCTGACCCTGAATGTAGCTTTGAGACTGGTCACCTCTACGACCTGGCTATACCATACTTCTGTGGACACGACAAGTCCTGCATGTCAGTACACACACCTTGGCAATTGGTACCTTTCACAATTTCACTACTATGTATATTTCACTTTCACTACTAGATCTGTAAGTGACCCTTGGGGCCAGATAGTGGTTTACTAGCGAGGCAAACTCGAGCATGGAAACACCTATTGAGCCCCGAGGTAAGACTTGGAGGATGTGACAAGAGGTAAAAGATACTATTTTACCACAGTGAGCGAAAATATCTCTTAGGTTTTTAGTAATCAAATATTATTTCTTAGTCTGGACGAAATTCTCTTCAAATTTTTTAACCATAGTATAGTTTTACAATATATTTAAATTCAACTGTTTGAACAATATTTCTCGTGATTAAAAAATAACATTCGTGTTCTTGTTAAGCTAGGGAACTTTTCAGATCAGTCAAAGAATTGTCATGAACAGAAAAGGAGCATGGGAAATCTTATATTTTGATAGATTGGAAGTCAACAATTTTCATAAAGCTGAGCAGTTTAAGAAAAAAAAAATATATTTTTGCGTAGAAAATTATGAAAAGCCATTCTTATTTCCTTCATGGTAAGTTAATTTGTTATATCCTCTAAACAATAACTAGCTTCTCTCTGGTAAATATTTATTTTCTTGATGGGTTGTTACCGGTACTGTATTTAATTCCGAAATGCACTAAATAACTCTTGAACAAAGTGTTCCTGAGTATCGACATTGGTTCCTCTCCTTATCAGAAGAGCAGCTCAGTGCTCTTCTGATAACGGTGGATCTTACGCAAGGCAACAGTTACTTAGGCCTGTAAGGGGTTTCTTGACACCTCTAGTAGCCGGTGGGCTCTGGAGGCTTTGGAGCCTTTCCACTAGTCGACTTGTGGGCTCTTTGCATGTTCGTGCCATAGCTTTAGCTGGACTATGTCTAATAGGCCTTGGATGTAGGGGTTTTAAAAGAAAAATATATTTTATTGTTCTATTATGTCAATAAAATATTAATGCAAGTAGATAGGAAGAAGTAAATTGTACAGAAGTTTTTTCCAATTTCAATTATCTCTCATAGCTGGTTAAAGAATCCATACAATCTATGCAAATTGTTCCTCATTGATGAAATTTGGATATCTATGAGGGAGCTGTTGACATGTTATGTTACTACTTTTGGATTCTTTTCAGGGAGATTTCTGAAAATTATTCATAATTAGTAGTGAACATTTAATATATTGGTAAATACTGTATATATGAATATGTTTCTAAACAAAATGGACTGTCTTTATGAGCTTGTTTATTGGAAAAAATGGACAAGAATTAACAATTAAGTTAATGACTTATGTAGTTGGTTAGGTATTCATTGATTAAGATATATGAAATTAAATTAAATGATAAACCGGTACCTACTTTATCTTGTATGTTGAGTAGTTAAAGCTTAATTCACTATTAAAACCCTATAATTAATTGTGCTAGGGTGCTGAATGACCGCTGGGCTCTGGAGAGGGCAAAGTCTAATGTGGAGAGATACTTTCCTGTGGTAGGAATACTAGAGGAACTCAACTCTACTCTGGTTGTACTGGAGAAGAAACTTCCTTACTTCTTTGCTGGTGTCCAGGAGATTTACTTTAAACAGTTACTAGGTAGGCTATGTCTGTTTGCTTTAGACGTTGAGTATAATAAATGAAGAGGTTTAAAATATTTGTTGTTAACCCTGCTATCACCTCAGTCAGCCTCTTGAAATTATTCTGTTCAATCCCGCAAACTCTGCCTAATTGGACTGGAAGGGTATAGAATCTGAGAAATGCGGAGTTATGAGGCAAAAATTTAAACTAAAATATAATTTAGTACATATTTTTACAATTTCTTACAAAAAATCCTCAAAGAGATATGGATTGTTGTTAAGCTGCTGGCTCTTAAAGCCCCTATCACACGGAGCTGGTTTTTTCGCGCTAGTAACAATTAAGCAACTAAAACCAGCAGAAAACCAGAATAGTGTGACTGATCCTCCAACGGCTATATAACAAACACTCACATAAGCTGGTAGCGTATGAACAGTTTGGTATTCCAACAATTGAAGAGTCACGTCGCCCCTCATCTGTGATCTCTAGCGCCATTCTAGCTCCGTCTAACAGGATCTAACAGTATCGTGCTAGTCCTCCCAATAGGAACAAATTTAAATTGATTAAAAATAATTTTAATTATTAATCATAAGAACAAACGTTAAATTTTGTGTTTAGAAAATTTATTTTAATGTATTCGTATTGTCATAGTTTATTGTTTTAACGATTTGTAATGGTTTAAATACCTGCATTCAGTAATCCAAAATGTTGCTTGTTTCAATTCACAGGGAACCATCTACAGGCCGTACAAGGCGTCCTTATTCACCTCCGTATATGAAGGTCGTCATTTAATAAATAAGTACATAGAACACGAACACACACGAAAACGCACATTGAAAGACAAACATTTAACATTAAAAATACCGAGTACTCGGGGACACGAGACAGGTGACATGACCGGGTGGAAGTTGTAGCTCGAACTGGTGGTCAGCGGTCAACATGGATGACGTCAGCCAGTCTCTGTCTCCTTATCACTGCTGGCTCGCATTCATTCCTTCTCTCCTCCTCCCCCATCCAGTATTTTTATTGCAATGTTATAAATAGAATTTGATTGGAATAAGAATTTGTCATTTAAAACATTTTGACCATCTGTTTTGACTGCCTTGTATATTTCAAATTCTTCATAAGTGTTAATGGTTGATTGGTCTTGGAAGCGATGTAAAACGTCCATGTTACTATTTATGTTTACGTAGTTGTGGTTAAGTGAAATTAAATGCTCGGCGAAATTAGAGGTTATGGGGGCCTGTAGTTTTCTTGGGGTATGTTCTCTGAACCTCTTTTTGAAAGAGCGTGATGTCTGTCTGATTTATTATTTTGGGCAATCGCTACAATTTAATTTGTAAACTCCAGACTTGTCATAAACAGTGGAATCCGTTTGTTGCCGTTCTTTCAATGGGTCCAAGCTTGTTTGTAGTTCTGAATGATACTGTTATATCATTTACCTACGACTGTTTTTTCAAGTAGCCGTTTCAGTACAGTTCTTAGAATTGAAAAGTATCTCATAACAGCATAGTTTTACTCATAACCACACGGGTAACGGACCAATGAGGTTCAAGGATTGAGAGGAGAAGCAAAATTGTAATGATTCGAAATTCAACTAATCAGCTGTTCACGCCAATTTAATTGTTGATTGGTGCAATTAGTGTTTGATACAATGTTTCGTTGCATCACTGTCAGTGGCAATGAGAGGTTATAAACAAAAACATAACCTCTCTTAGAAGTCATGAGAAGTGTTTTTAGTAATTAAAACACCATCGTAGGTAAAGTAGTGTACGCAGATCCCGTAAATAGCGCAAGGCTCGTACCTTAAATTTTCTACTCGTGTCGTCAACACTATCTTTACGCAATCGTTGCGTAAACTACTATTCTGGTCATTATATTTTTAAGTATGGCTTAATGACGAACTATATTTAGCTGAGATATAATGTTTCTAAATAGAAGCCTTAGAGGTTTTAAGTGTTTATAAATTAAATTGTCTAAACAGCTATTGAAACCATTTGCAACCTCTATGTATTTTATTATGTTGACGTCTTTTTAGCGAATTTCCCTAGAGGGAAGTAGCTATTACCGTAGGTGGCACGGTAAGACCTAGACCCGGGACCGATTTACTTTTTTCATTTTGATGTCCCCAGAGGCCAAAAACACCATTCGTTCAAATTTTTATATATGTATATATATATATATATAGACTTATATATATATCCGTGAACGCGATAACATGAGTAATTTTTGTCCGATTTTGATGAAATTTGGTTTAAAGGTGTAAAGCGGGATAAACTTGAATGAGTTCGCGAACCAGCACGATCGGACCATGGGAACGGGGCTTTACGGGGGGTTTTATGGGGTAAAAATTGGTTTTTCTCACTTTTGACCCTCAAAACACAAATTTTCCCGATTTCTCTTTAGACCTTTTTAAAGAGCTTAAAAAAACAAATAATTTAGTATATAAAAGTGTTTTTGTTCGGTTATTAGTAACGGAGAAAGTTAAAAAAATTGTAAATTTAAAATTCCCATGTTATTCTTATGGAGAATATTGTCAAATGTTGTAGTTTGCTTGTTTATGGATATATTTTGATCAAACTTGGCAAATTTATTTATTTTGTACTAAGCTATCAATATTTTACTCAAAAACACACTTTATTAGTTTCCTTGTAGCAGCAAACCTAGGTACTCGTTAAACCTAATGTTATTAAAATATGTTTAACTGAAAATCAATTCAGACAAATGGAAATTCGCTTAGTCGGCAGGTTTGCTGCGGCGGGGGTATTTATAATCATTATCACTCATTGGTACTGAGAGCAACCTGTGAACAAAACTGTTGTATGCGGCAATCTTATATGAATAAGGGTGGTGTGTGAATCTGCATTGATTGTCTGGTCGGTACAAGTTGGTTTTCTACAAACTTTGAATGAGAATTTGTCATTTTTCTTGGTTATTGTTAGATCCAAAAAGTTTAAGGAATTGTTTTTCTTTTCTTCAAGCGTGAGTTAGATGTTTTTGTGCATATTGCATAAATATTTGCATAACAAAGATAACTGTCTGCTGTTGCCATTGAAAAGAACGATGGTGTCGTCAACGTATCTATAATAAAATGTTATTTTCTCTTGAAAGCGATTGGTGTCAGAAAATAGATGTTCATTTTCGATATGGTTCAAAAATATTTCTGATAAAATACTGGAGAGGGGTGAACTCATTGCCAGGCCATCTTTTTGGACATAGAAGTCATTTTGGAATCTGAAATATATAAATCTGGAGTGATGATTATAAAGAAGAATGGAGAGTTTTAATGTTAAATGTTCGTCTTTCAATGTGCATTTTCATGTGTGTTTGTGTTCTATGTACTTATTTATTAAATTACGACCTTCATATACGGAGGTGAATAAGGACTCCTTGTAAGGCCTGAAGATGGCTTCCTGTGAATCGAAACTTAGTCGCCACAAGCAACATTTTTTTTGGATTACTGTATGCAGGTATTTAAACCATTACAAATGTTCAAACGTAATCCGGAGACTAACAACTTTTGAAAATGAAATTTTATCGATTGCTTCATCTCACCTATATAAAATAAATGAAAGTGGATTTTGTGTTTGTAAAAGATAAAGAACTTTTGTGATGGACCCTCCACAACTTATTTGTTTTGAATTTGTTAACCTAGAAGCCCATAGTATGTACAAAATAATAGTGTATATTTTTTTCCTTGCACCCTTTTAGCGAATTTCCCTATAGGGAAGTAGCTATTACCGTAGGTGGCACGGTAAGACCTAGACCCGGGACCGATTTACTTTTTCATTTTGATGTCCCCAGAGGCCAAAAACACTATTCGTTCAAATTTATATATATATATACATATATATATATATATATATATATATACGTCCGTGAACGAGATAACTTGAGTAATTTTTGTCCGATTTTGATGAAATTTGGTTTAAAGGTGTAAAGCGGGATAAACTTGAATGAGTTCGCGAACCAGCATGATCGGACCATGGGAACGGGGCTTTACGGGGGGTTTTATGGGGTAAAAATTGTTTTTCCTCACTTTTGACCCTCAAAACACAAAATTTCCCAATTTCTCTTTAGACCTTTTTAAAGAGCTTAAAAAAATAAATAATTTAGTATATGAAAGTATTTTTGTTCGATTATTAGTAACGGAGAAAATTAAAAAAAATGTAAATTTAAAATTCCCATGTTATTCTTATGGAGAATATTGTCAAATGTTGAAGTTTGCTTGTTTATGAATATGTTTTGATCAAACTTGGCAAATTTATTTATTTTCTACTAAGCTATCAATATTTTACTCAAAACACACTTTATTAGTTTCCTTGTAGCAGCAAACCTGGGTACTCGTTAAACCTAATGTTATTAAAATATATTTAACTGAAAATCAATTCAGACAAATGGAAATTCGCTTAGTCGGCAGGTTTGCTGCGGCGGGGGTATTTACTTATAGCGAATGATGGCTGATCATAGACAAAACCTCACATCTAATGCTGCTAGATCTCACAGTGAGAACTATAGCTGCTGATGCAAGCCCTGTGTGTGACACAAGATTAACCCTCCGAGCGTCACTCGTCGAAAAATCGACTCACGACACACTTTGTGTAGTGTCACGCGTCGATTTTTCGACACACGAACATCGTTTACGGCGAAGGCTCTATGACTGACTGAATCGGATTGAACTGGATCGAGTTAGGTATCGTTCTTTTCGTTAGATTCTAAGCTTTCTCCAGAAGTCTGTCTCTAAGCGCTTTATGTTCTCCGAGCCGATTGTAATTGTAGCAGACATCTGACGTTCGTGTTTTAGACAACTTGGTTATTTCACATCGGTGACTTGTGTGTTTTAGTACGTTTATCGTCGTTTTTAGTGGTAAAAATGGACAGTAGTGATATACGTAATGCACTAGAAGATGATATTAGTGATGTTGAAGGACTTATTGACGATCCGGATGAAGTTGGTAGTGACATTGATGTTAATTATCAGCCAGATTCCTAGCTATGGTTAGGCTATGCATTCTTAGCTAAACGCTATGCACTGAAATCTGTTTTTTGCCCATAACTTATTTATTTGCAAATCTAATTCCTTATATTATTATATATTTGTAATCCTCATAAAATTTAGAACAAAGTGGCTATTTTCAAATATTTATAGGCCTATAATTTATACAATTTCATTGAGCGCAAACTTATTTTTTTTTTCAATTTTTCCAAAATAATTTTTTTTACCTAAAAATTTTTTTTGAAACAAATATTCTTTATGTTTTATGTATGATATTGAAGCCCATGATTTTCCAAACAAAATGGTATATAGAACAGTAGAATTAACATTGTTTTAAGCTTCTCAGATCTGTTTTAATAAAACCTTGCAAATGCGCCAAAAATAAGTGGACATTAAGAGTCTTCCTTAGTGGTAGCCATGTTGGATTTCTTCCCCATAAGAACAATGTTAAACATTACATCATTTGTGGACACGTAACAGCGTTATTTGTTAAGATATAGCTTTGAAATTTATAATTTGTATTTTTAACATAATAGACTCGTGACTGAGGTTTTTGAATTTCGAAAATCCATTTTCATTTCCTTTCAATAATTAACTTAATTTTAAGCTAATTAATAATCAATTATTCATTATAAAAATTAAAAATTGTGAAATAAAAAACGTCAATCTCTAGAGGACCGCAATTCCTTAAATTTAACTCCTTATCCATAATTATATGACAATTTGCTGATGAGATATTTGGACCCAAAGTTAACATTGTTCTTATGGGGAAGAAACCCAACATGGCTTCCACTAAGGAAGACTCTTAAGGCCTAAACTATGGACACTCGGAGGGTTAAAGCTGGTTGCAATGGAATAACACATATGCTTATTGAGGATACAGAAGACTCTCCAATTCAAATTCGACTTATTCTTAGGTTCTCTTCTTTTCAGTGTTTGTAAATTCTTTGGAGCAGTGTCTGACCAGCTAATCTGGGGCCTCCAGACTTGTGTTGTACAAAGTTATGAGCACTAAGTCACACAAATATAAAAAGCTAATTAATTGTTCTGTAGGCCTAGGCCTATTACTGTCAATAATCAATACTGGAGAATGATGTGATGGGCATACATGCAAGCTTTAATTCTATACAAACGGTACAGTTTGGAGTGATACTTAATGATTAATGATACATTAAGTGGGAAAATATATAATATAGGCCTAGGTATATTTCATAAGATTGAAGACATTGATAACAAAAGCGCTTATAATGAGCTGTTTCGCCCCCTCCAAGGTCAATGTCACCAGACATGAGTCGAGTAGTTTCATCGTGTCTGTCACCGTGCGTGTTATGACCGGCCACACATTCGTTTTTCTTGTTACTAATTGGTGTCCGTGTATGTTAAATATATTTTTTTGTATTGACGACGAGGAGATGTCCCAATAATATTACGAGTCAAGAGGCTTAATGAACCTGCTTTCGAAACTATTCGCCATAAACTAATTTTAGGATTGATGTCGCAAGGTATGTAAACCTATTTATATTTATAACACAATTATTACTGCTCTTTATGATAATTTTAGATTTGTAATTTAAAATTTATTTTGTACAATGTTTCAGAGCCTCACAAGAACAAAAATCGCCAAAGACCTAGACATGTAAGTGAAGAAGCTCGTAAAAAACTAAGGTCATGTCTAAAGCTAGAGTATGAATTTTACTATTGGCTCAGAAGAAGACTACTTAACCAACTGTCTTGGCTTTCCACATCTTCCAAATAGAATCTGTTCTGTATAAAATAACTTGTGTGATATTAAATTTATGTTTTGTATTGATAATAGTGTTGCTATTGATCAACTACTTCATAACATTGACCTTAAGGTTCCTTATATATCATCCTGGAATTATATATATGTGTCCATTTGCACGGTAATTTAGGTAGAAATGATCCAATTTTCATGATAATTGGTACTAAAGTGTTGACCTACGTTTATTCTAAGAAGTTCACAAACTAAAACTACCATGATCAGATCATGGGAATGGGGTAACACTTGCTTTTCAAATTTTTGGCCCTCAAAACACAAATGTGCAGCTTCTTTCTTGACTATTCATAAAGCTTATAATAAATAAATAGATAATCTTAAGTATTTGCGAATAAATATTTTTTTAATTTTTATAGCATTTGAGCGGTTAAATTTTATGAAGCTTTGTTATGCTCAAAAACATGAATTTTTTCCTCACTCAGGTACAGTAGTCGCAGCTAGTCTGGGCGCGCGGCCGCGCTATGGCAGGGGGTGTTGTAGAGGGGAATGTTTAGTTTATTGCTCATTTCCAAAAAACGTCTGGCCCACACGGCTCTCTGGGGTTGGCGTGGGGGACGGTTAGTACACAAGGGTCCGCGCGCCCAGACTAACTGCGACTACTGTAGTTGGTTGGGGAATGAGGTAAAAAGAAACATTCGAGTAGATTAAAAGAGAACAAATCAGATAAAAACTTGGGTTTAGACAGCTGTAATTGTCAATCGTAATGCACAATCCAATTCAAGATAGTTAAATTAAAATAAAAACTTTTACGTTGTAAAAGTCCCAGAATGATTGAAAGTGGTCCTGTTATGATTTCTTCTTAGGGTCTTTCAATCCTGCTCCTGCATTAAACTTGAAAAAAATGATATCACCATCATCCACCACATATTGTCGTCCTTGTTGTCTGTACTTGCCAGCAGCCTGTCAAATAGAGAAAATTGAACAATACCCAAGATTGGTACATTACATAATATAAAATGATATAACACTGAACAGTTTTGAGGGATAACATCAAGAAGAGATACAATTTAGTAACATTAATCGTATGCCTATCACTTTAGGAGTCCCTCCTGGCAATCCCTAACCCTCTAATCATCAGTCTAGTATTTATTTAACATTTACAAGTGCTGGTCTATCTGACTGTGGTACATGAGATTCTTGCCATTACTTACTCATTATTATTGAGTTGTCATTAAACTCTTTTGCTGCAAGAAAATGTTGATGTTACTGTCCGAAAAGTGCTAGGCTTGCTGCATGGGGCAAAGTCTAGTGCGCATAAAAATAAAAATTGTAAAAATAAAATTTTTCATCTCTAAAGTGCTAAGGAACGATATATCGGGCCTCGATCGTATAAGGAATTGAAAGTAATCATCGCTGTTTCGAAAGGATCATTTCGCTATTTCGAGTCAACTGATATGAGCCTTTGAGCTTACGCAAACGAAAGTCAGGTCGGCACGATATATCGTCGCGTAGCACTGAAAGGATTAAATAGAGTTGAACAATTTACAATGTATTTTAATTTTATGAATATTGAATTCCTAGAACTATTTTTAATATGATACAGAGAGAACAAAATTTAAAACTACAAAGTAACTCAAAAATTCATTTTTTTTTTAATACCAAAACAGACATATAATGTTCTCCCAAACCAAAAGTAACTTGAAAATTACGTCCTACGACTAGAATTCATTGTCTGCTTTTTAAGACTATAAAATAGAAGTTTTAAATTTTATAATTCACCTATAATAGTCAAATACTAAGAAAACCAGAAACATGAACTATTAAGTCAGCACTTTGATTACTTGACTATTCAAAAGTTAAACAGTAAGATTAAAGAAAATGAAAATAATATTAGTGGGTAGTAGAAGTAACAGTAACACCATCACATATACCAACAACAGTTTGCATCCCTTAGGGTTGCTAAGGAACAACATAAAATTTAAAACCAAATTTTGAGCAACACAAACTCTTAAATTCTCCAGCGATTTCCTAAAAACCCTATTAATTTTTGCAACAAAGACTTAAATCACATTAAAAATGTTGACAATGAGAAGCCTGCTAGTGTGCATGATGGTCCTGGTGGCAGTCAGCCTGAGTGAGAGTTCCCCTGTGGTCCTTCAACTACAAGATGATCCTGTAGTAGCAGAGACTGAGGCCTCCAATGCGACAATACCTGCTGCTGGCCCCACTGATGGTCCCACCGAACCCCCCAGGACCTTCAACCCAACCAAGGCCAGCTCTGCAGCCTGTGTCACTCCTGGACTCATCCTGCTCGCGTGTTCTGTCCTCGGAGGACTTCTACAATGTGTCTAGGATTATCTAGGTTGTCTATGTCTAGAGAATTCATGTAATAAATTTATTGTTTTGTGTTAAATTTGAAATATGGTAATTTCTTTATCATAATTAGTGAAAACCTACACCTACCTTTGCCTATTGGGTCTGATGATGATTGGAGTGATCACGCATTACCTATCTTAGCTATCTTTTATTGTGTATCTATTTGCCCATGGACTCTAACTAGCTAAAACTCTATCCCTTTCCCAAGAATTTCTTATTCACAGAACAGATCCACAAGTAAAGATTTACCAGTACTTGATCAATATATTTTTCTGATTACAAGCTTGGCCTAACAGAATCAGTAGTATTGATATTCAACGAGCAGTGTCTTAATCATTCCTAGATGCTGAATAATTCCCACACTATTCACACCAATATAGCATAAGAGTTAACATATTAATTTTAATCTTTTTTTTATTTAATTTATTCTTCTGTTTCTAAGGGTCAGCACATTTTCGTTTTCAATTCTATATTTCTATGATTGGTAAAGTAATGTACCATAAACTATTGCATACCTTGCATCCTGCTTCAGATCCTTCTTCTTTAAAGTCATCAAACTTCATAACCTCAGCCATGATGAAGCCTTTCTCAAAATCTGTGTGGATTCTTCCAGCAGCTTGTGGGGCCTTTGTTCCTTTCTGAAAAAAAGTATTTTTTTACAGGAAGTTTACTACCATTACTGACTTGTCTGCTTCACTATTATCATTATCAAAACACTTATAACATACAGTAGAACAGTGGTTCCCAAATGATGGTACGCAGGGACATCTAGTGTGGTACACGTTTAAGTATACAAAACTTCTACAATAAACGGTATCAGCATTCTGAATTCTGACACATACTTTCTCCCATAAGTTTGTCAACAACCTTTACTAAATTTTTATCAAAATCGTTCGGGCCATTTTTGGGAAAATCCTATTTTTCCATTATTTTATGAGGTTTTATGGGGTTTTATAAGAAAATCCCCATTAAAAATAAAAATTTCTAAAAAATTAAAAAACTATCAAAATTGTAAGGACCATAACATACTATGTTAAATCAAACCCTTGTTATTTTATGGGGTTTTTATGGGAAAATAACATATTTGACCATTACTTTTGAACCATAATTTTTACAGAAATGGGATTTGTACCATTTTATTCAGAATTTAAAGGGCTACAACATACAAAATTTTTATCAAAATCGTTTTGGGCCATTTTTGAGAAAATCCTATTTTTCCGGTTTTTTATGGGTTTTTATGGGAAAATCCTTAAAGTAGTACCTTAAACGAAACGATCAGCGGAACCAGGGAGGACGGCCCGCGGCGCGATTTATAAAGAACCTCTTTGCATTACTAATTACTAGGGGTCTGCGGTGCACCGAAAAATCACGGTGAACCTATTATAATAATAAATTACTTTCAGTTTATTAGTAGTCAACGACAGTTGGTTCCAAGCACATAAAAGTCTTATCAGATGTTTGTTTACGATCTTCATAATTTATTACTGGGGTGATGATGCAATAAAAAACCCATTAGCAGTCCCAAACCATTAACATTTTATCACGACAATAACACAATTGTTGTATTCAAGTACTTCCAAGAACTGTTGAGTTTTATCACTTTTATTTCTTTACGACTTTCCCCAATTCTATTTTATCATAATAATAATAGTTTTATGATGACTGTTAAATGTTATCTCTAACTCAGTCAGTATTTTTGTGAATAATCAATTTGCCGCTGGCATTGCCTACTGCCATAAAACTGTTAGGTGCTACATATTAAACTTGTAACCAATCTCATCTACAATCTTATTTATAAGTTAAAATATTTGTTATAAATATTTTATCTTTCTATTGAGAAACCACAAGCATATTTGTTGTTTGCATAATTTGTTTTTCGTTGTTATGCAAGCCTACTCGGTCTCAAATTATGTCATTGCATGTTCTGTATCTTGTCTTACATTGTTAGATGTGGCTGTTTAAGGCTTAAATGTTTTTTAGTTTCCTGTATTTTTTATTGTGTTGATGGCACTTTATGCAATCTAAATCTTATGAACTAGATAATGATTTTGCTACCCTCATTGTAACCTAATCAATTTATATATAGGCCCTCCTAAATAATTAGGTCTAGGCCTGGGTCTTTTGATTATTTGGAAGAGCTTTAAAATATACTAAGAAAATTGGACTGAGCCTGAGATAATCTAATGATTGATATGATTGATATTGTGGATGTTAACTTTGTAAATGAAAAACAATAATCTTACTCTGTGATAATCCAAATTTTAGTTTCAGAAAAAAACTTTGCAAGAGTCGTATTCATCTTATAACTAGTTTTGAAGCTGATAAAAAAAAGATGCTCTTTGCCATTACTTGATCATATCCTCCAGTTGTTCATTGTTGTCTGCTGTGAACAGCTGGCAACTACACTGTCTTTGTACTGAATGCTTTTATGTTTTTAAAAATCTAAAAAACAACTAGACATTGTGTTGGTTGGAAATAATTTACCAGTTGTGTGAAATTATCTTGTCAATAAATGTTTCAAACATGTTTATTCCTAAAAACTCTTATCCTATTTTTAAAACCACTTTATCATGGCTATTCAAAGTATCTCAGAATAAAATAGGTAAAGCCTTTATCTTAACTGTGATTTTTCTTGACACAATCCTCGTAGTAGTAACAGGTTTTTTTTTTTTTTTTTTGTGGTACAGTAATTGTTGTTCGAAAACCATGAATGTAGGATAGTAGTGGCAATATAGCAAAGAGACATCACTTTAGGCACGTTTTTCCCATGTTATTCTTATGGGGATTATTTTTGGCCACTTTTTTGAAGACCCTGATCTTTGCCTATACAAGCCTATATTAATGTTCAATACCATTGTACAACTCCATTAACATTTAAAATCCACATCAATTCACATGACATTCTCAAAATCGAGCGAGGTTTGTACGCGAACTCGGGCATGCTCCCCCATATAAAATACGCGCTACCCATATAAAATAATGTTAAATTTTTTTTACTTTTTGATTTTTTAATGTTGTAATATTGTTTATAATCAAAAGTTGACACCCAGTGTGTGTGCCAGAATTTCAACCGTTTTGCCGTATCTCAAGCCGTTTTCGAGATATAAGCGTTTTTAGACAGTTTACGGACTTAGACGATTTTTCATGGTAACTTTTATTTGTACCCATATAAAATAATGTTAATTTTTTTTTACTTTTGATTTTTTTAATGTTGTAATATTGTTTATAATCAAAAGTTGACACCCACTATGTGTGCCAGAATTTCAACCGTTTTGCCGTATCTCAAGCCGTTTTGAGATATAAGCGTTTTTAAACAGTTTTACGGACACTGCCCCAAGAGCCAAGTTCGCGGTTACGAGACTGGGGAATCCCCAGGTGGTGACGTCACCGGGGACGAGTCTAAAGTAGAGTCCCGCAAACTCGGCACTCGATAACCCGGTAGTCTGGATAACTCGGCCATCACCTGGCTCAGAAAATTAGTGATTTTTTGAGTCTGAGTTAAACATGGGCTCAAGTAAAAGCATTTGCAACTCGTACCAAGGATTTGTTGTACTATATCTGATGACTTAATACCTACTTGTAAAATAAATGTAAATAAATAAGGCAGCTAAAAGGAATAAAAATTGTATTGTTCTTATTTTTAACCCTAGTTCCCGATAACCCGGCATTTCACAAACTCGGCACCCTTCCAGTCCACATTACGCCGAGTTTGTGGGACTCTACTGTATATAGAAGTGGCATAGTAATGTCAATGTATTATTGTTAAAAATAATGGTTTAAATACAGTTCTGAGAAGAAAACCGCAAAAATACGGGTAGCCGCGTACCGTACCGATTATGTACCGAGAACCAAGGTACAAAATATTGTACCGTACCGACCTTAAATTTTCTGTACCGCAGACCCCTACTAATTACTCCATTACACACGACTAGAAAATTTTATTTGAAATTGCTTGGTTATATGCTGAAGATCTCATTACTCATTAGCTACAATTTTGTTTGTATCTTGAAGTTTGCTTCTGACCAAAAAATAAAAAAAATCCTCGCTTAGTAACTTTTTCATGTCAAGGTGTGATATTTGTTTAACATTTTTAGTTGTTAAAATTTGAATTACGATTTAAATAAGATTATATTTATACTGTCAGATTGTGCAGTTAATGCAGATTCCGAATATATAACTTTAATTGCAGTAAACGTATTGTATGCACGACCAGGAGCGTATTAACAACCGCGTGCACGGCTTGAGGAACTGACATATCTGCGTCGAGTCCCCCTTTGTGGTGGGGGAAGGTTGCTGAAACGGCACGCTTTTTATCCCAAATCTCCTATCTACCCGGTGTTCCAGTTGTGTTATATACTTCGATGGTCTACAGAATGTCAATAATGGACCAAAATAGGTTAGCCTACGATGCATATTATTTTAATACGTATTACGTAAGAATTATGAATTACAATTTAAAAAAATTTAATGGTATTTTCCTTGGATGATGAGGTTATGTAACATTATTTTAGAGATATTCATTGACCAAGTTGATCTGCCTCTCGGTTAATCAAGGTTCAACATATTGTGCTTAAACATTAAAAATGTTTTAAGTCCATCTCTCTTTATATTGACTGAGTTTATCTGCCTCTAGGTTAATCAAGGTTCAACATATTGTGCTTAAACATTAAAAATGTTTTAAATCCTTCTCTATTTTAATTGACCAAGTTGTTCTATCTCCCAGTTAATCAAGGTTCAGCATATTGTGCTTAAACATTAAAAATGTTTTAAATCGATCTCTATTTTAATTGACCAAGTTGATCCGTCTCTCGGTTAATCAAGGTTCAACATATTGTGCTTAAACATTAAAAATGTTTTAAGTCCACATTTTAATTATTGACTGAGTTTATCTGCCTCTAGGTTAGTCAAGGTTCAGCATATTGTGCTTAAACATTAAAAATGTTTTAAGTCCATCTCTCTTTTAATTGACCAAGTTGATCCGTCTCTCGGTTAATCAAGGTTTAACATATTGTGCTTAAACATTAAAAATGTTTTAAATCCTTCTCTCTTTTAATTGACCAAGTTGTTCTATCTCCCAGTTAATAAAGGTTTAACATATTGTGCTTAAACATTAAACATGTTTTAAATCCATCTCTCTTATAATTGACTGAGTTGATCCGTCTCTCGGTTAATCAAGGTTTAACATATTGTGCTTAAACATTAAAAATGTTTTAAATCCATTTCTCTTTTAATTGACCAAGTTGATCTGCCTCCTGTTTAATCAAGGTTCAGCATACTGTGTTTAATCATTAAAAGTGTTTTAAATCCATCCCTCTCTCCGGACAGTTCCTACTCTTTACTGTACTTACTTATATTATAAAATATACAATTTTGAAAGTTTTTACTCAACAGGGTGTCTAGTTTATTTCCATTTTAAAATTCAAGACTAATTCCAGACTTTTCAAGACTAGTTATTTTTCAACAAAAAGTGAGTGTTGATACCAAAATGTATCAATTCTCAATTCAGATACCAACTTTTATAGTTTAACCAAATTTTATAAATAATTTGACTGTACTACACACAATTTTAAATGTTAACCCTTTGCGGTCGAATGGCGAGTATAGGTCGCCGGGCACCATTTGAGCACCTCGCCGAAAAATGAAAAAAAATTCAACCTGAAAGGGTTAAGTCCCATCGAGTGACCCCTCATTTTGAAGGTCGTGATAAAAAAACTTACAATGCAAACTATAAGTTTCTATCTCATTCCAGTAAAAAATGACAGCTGATTGAAACCTTTAGAAATCCGAATCAACTTGCAATTTTATATTCAATTGGCTGCCATATTTTACTTAGTTAAGATAGAGACTTCTAGTTTGCATTGTTAGTTTTTTTTTATCACAATCTTTAAAATAAGGCGTCACTTGATGGGGCTTAATATTTAAAATTTTTGAGTTTCCCCCAAAATCCCCCATTTTGGGTTTGGGAACCAAGTAGCAATTAGGCTCAAAAAGTACTTCATAACATGCCATAAAGGAGTGTTGAGTTTAGTTTTCCTAGTGTGAGCCGTTACAAAATTTACAGGGGGTCTCCAGTCTTGGAAAGCTGTAAGTTAATTTTAACTTCTGAGACTTTCAGTTGGCTGCCATTTTTTACGAGATAGAGACCTCTAATTTGCGTTGTTAGTTTTCTTTTACCAGGACCTTCAAAATAGGGGGTAACTCAATGGGTCTTACCATTTGAAATTTTTGAGGTTTTTCTCCAAAATCCCCCATTTTGGGGATGTACACCAAGTGGCGGTTATGCCCAAAAAAAGTGCTTCATAAGATGCCATAAAGGTGTGCCGAGTTTCGTTTTTCTAGTATGGGCCGTTGACGCGATAACCTGAGTAATTTTTGTCCGTTTTTGATGAAATTTGGCTTGAAGGTGTAGGGAGGGATAAACTTGATTGAGTTCACAAACCAGTATGATCGGACTATAGAAATGGGGTTTTATGGGGTAAAAATTGTTTATTTCTCATTTTTGACCCTCAAAACAAAAAAAATCCCAATTTCTCTAAGTAACTTACCCTTTTTTAGAGCTTAAAAAAACAAATAATTTAGTATATTAAAGGGGTTTTTACGGTTATTGGTCAAAGAAAAATTTCCAAAAGTAAAAATTACCATCCTATGCTTATGGAGATAAGTAAACTGTTATAGGTAGTTTGCTTGTTTACAGATATATTTTGATCAAACTTGGCAAATTAACTTATTTTATACCAAGCTATTGATATTCTACTAAAACTTTACTACCCTCCCTATAGCAGCAAACCTAGGTACTTGTTAAACATAAATGTCATTTAAATAGATTTAATTGAAAATCCAACAGGGCAAATGGAAATCCGCTTAGTCTGCAGGTTTGCTGCGGCTGGGATATTTTGTACATGGTGCAGACAGACACCACGCACAAGAAGTGTCTGATCAAAAGCAAAAGAGAAAAGAACAATTAGTTATTTGAAAAAGAGCATGGTCTTAAGTGTTCCTGCAGTCGCTATTAGGCTCAAAATCCCATGCTCCTGCATCATAGGCTTATACCCATTACCCCAGGAATCAGCATCTATATCCTAACAGAGTCGTCCTTCTAGCTACAGCTTCCCCTGGCAAATATCACTGACCACTGACCAGGATTATTATAATTGTTATTCCTTGCTTATTGTATAAGTATGGGAAGAGATGGGTGGTAGTGTTCTGCCCTGATAAAAGTATTGGTGTGCGAAAAGAGGTGAGAGAGAGATTGCCTTATTGTGCTCTAAATTGTTTAGGAATTTAAACTATTTGACTAACTAGAGAATTACACAAGTAAAAAAAAATATATTTTAGTATCAAAAACTACTCAACCCTCAAAAGAATGTAAATCATTTATACAGTAGAATGAAATAAACCTACATGTTATGCCGTAAGAGTAACCAAGTGAAGATTTTATTCTGAAAATTGTTTACTCAACAATGTATACCTGGATAGTCCAAGCTTTAACTTCATCATGACCAGCTGTAAAGAAGTACTGCAACTGTAGAGCCTTGTAACCTTGCACAATAATTTTATCCAGGGCACTGTAACAAATCAAAAACAGAGATAGAGGTAAACTTGGGTAAAAATACTTCTTTTTAATACAAAGACATTATGGGTTTGCTAATTTTTTTTGCCTACAAAGTAAATTTTGAATGGTTATTGGTATGATATATTTGGAACAACCGTAAAATTAAGTAATTTTAAAGAGTTATAATAACAACAAGATAATGTGATTGCCTGTAATCTTATGTAAAATGTATCAAACCTCCAGAAATGATTTATCTGTTGAAAATGGTTTAAGTGTGTTTACTAATCATCGTCAGCTGTAACTTGGAGGTGAAGCCCTCTTAGCTACTGAATCCATTTCATTGAATACATGTTCCGCAGGTAAATAATTCCTCAAACTATAATATATGTTTCGTTTCATGTAAGTAATTTTATAATTTTAATCAATGAAAAAAACATCAATTAATATGTAATATATGTAATTAATATGTATGTTAATATGTAAAAGAAAGGTTTCTGAAGTAAATAAGGATAAGAATCTTTATTACCCTTTAAACATTTTACAGTGCAATACGGTTAGTCATTTGCTACATAGTAAGTTGATACACATAGGCCTAAAATTAAAATGTAATTTATTTATTACATGCACGGCAAACACTATTTTACAAGAGAGTTGAGTTGACATTGATAAAATTAAATGTGACTTAAAGTGGAATAGTTTAAAATAGTAACTAAATACAGTATTTCACAGGAAAAATAACAAAGATAATTTAATTAATGAAGTTAAAACAATCTAGCCTGGTTTAAAATCTACTAATGACAGGTACGTCATGAAACACTAGGTAAAAAATATAGGCAAAATTCAATTTATAAAATAGAACGAGTACATAGAAACTAGAATCAACCAATTAATACTAACATGGATTGATGGCAAAAATAGATTCTGAAACAAGTTAACAAGTTATCAGTCTGAGTCTAGCAAAACGAACAAGAATCAAGTGAGACCTTCTAGTGTTGTATGTATGAACATTTTCATTTAAAATTAAATTAAAGAATTTTGTTTTTACATACAAAAAACATAGAAAGATAAAGTTGTAAATAATTATCTAAAACAGTCATAATATTATCTTACTATCAACAAAAACAGGCCTACAAAAAATTAATAATGTTGTTAATGAATATTTTAATAACAATAACAATGATAAATACTTTAGAAAAAAAAAAAACTTAAATTGACGGAAAATATAATATAATGATTGTCACTTCCTCTCACTGATTATGTTGCCCTTTAGAGGCACCAACAAAAACAAGCTCACTTCACTGCACATATAGCACTGAAAGTGAGGCCCTTAGAGGCACCACCAAAAGCACATCCACTTAAGCTGGAACTGGTCAGCAGGCCACGTAGACTTATCTCCTAAAGAGTGGCAAGGAAGACCCGAAGAACTCAAGTTGGACTGCATTCCCCAGACGATGAAAACAAGAAGTGTTAGATCAAAGTGCGATTTAAAGGCCTAATGTGTCAACAATCAAAGCGGGCCCTTGGATTAATGAACTGCAGTCTTTTGGTATTAATGTTTCTGACACTGCAGGAGGGCCAATTTAAGTTTTAATTGTATCTGATATTGGTGGAAAGTAGGGATGGACGAGATTGAATTTTTAGTTCGAGACGAGACAAGACGAGATTTTTTATTTCTCATAAAATTTCGAGACGAGATCGAGACGGGATTTCCCTTCTCATACACAACGGGAAATGCACGTTCAAAATTTTTACCTGATTTTGTAACATTGTTAGATGACTGTTTAAATACAAAAATAATGATAATAGGCAAGAATATTTACAATCTTTTATTAAAAAACATCAGCATAATATTTTTTTATTAATCACGCCTAACTTATTAAAAATGCCTACGATTAGGAAACATAGTGATATCAGTTAGGATAGAGTTCAACTTATCCTAAAATAAAAATAAATCATAAAATAAAAGCAATATTAATTTTTATAAAATAGTTACTTGTTTTGACTTTTTATAGTAATAAAACATTCCTCACACTGCTTACACTTAACAAAACTTCTCAAATGTTATTAAAGTAATATTATTAAAATAATTAAAGTAATATTTACATTTATAGAATTAATTAAATAAGAACGCCTTCGCAAAGGAAACGCAACTACAACACGCTCCTGTATTGCGGGTATTGCATTGGCTTTCTGCAGGCGTTTTTAATTTTTTTTTTTTTTTTTTTTTTTATTCTCGTCTCGATAAAAATCTCGGCCAAAAAGAAATCTCGTCTCGTGTAACGAGATTTAAAATTTCCCGAAAATTTCCCGAAATTTCGAGACTTGACCATCCCTAGTGGAAAGTTGTTTACAGGGAAAAATCATGTTTTGACGAATGACTTAGTTGTAATGGAAACCTTACTTGGTTGGGTTTTAATGGGGAAAGTAAATTTGAAAGGAACGACTTGTAAATCAAGTTCAATGACTGTTACATCTTTGTTAACACCTAACATCTATATTGCTGACGAGTGTAGTATAGAAGTTTCAGAGATAAAGGATCCTGTAATTGTCCAAATAAAATGTGAAACTAATCAGTCTTATGACTGTGTAGAAGAAGCTGTTGGTAAAGAATTGAAGAAGTCTTTATCACCAAGTATAGAAATTTTTAATTCAAGAAATGAAGAAGACTGAACTTTTGGACTACTTATCAAAGAAGAAAAAATAAATTCCGAAAAGATTTTTAAACTCATACAGAAAGAGTCATTATCAGACTTAAAGCAAAAGAGGACAGTTTCAAATCATTTTGTGTTTCTGAGGACTTTGACGATTAAAAAAATGTTGTGTAAAGATTTATTCATTGCAAGTATGAAGAAAACTGTCATTTTGGGGTTAAAGGTTTAGTGTCTATGCTAAGATGTGAGCATAATAGGATGGTGGGCAAGACCTACCAAACTGTTGAAACAACTTCTAGGAAAGTACTGGGAAGATCTTGAAGAGTTAATAACTGTATTAGGCGACTGTCAATCTGTAATTAATGCAATAACACTTATTTATGTGTCTGAAGATAGTGGTGATATGAAAGTATTGACTCCAGCAATGTTCCTTCTTGAAGCAAACGAATAAGGAGTAGCAGATATTGATTGTATTGAAAGAATAGATTTATGTCACTGTATGAAACATCAACTAAAAATGAAAGAAGATTCAAGGAAGAGATTTCAAAGTGAATATTTAAGTCAGGTGATTCTTCGTTCAAATAAAAGTAAACATCGTAAAAGTTAAAATCGGAGAAATCGGGCTGATAGGAGTTGACAATAGAAAACATATGGAATGGCCTATGATGAGGGTTCAAAAAACTTTCAAAGGAAAAGATGGTAATTTGCGTTTGGTGGATCTGAAGACATTTAAAGGAACCCTGCTACGACCTATTCAACACATTTATCCCATAGAAGTGGTCAATAACCAGGGAAAAGAAGTTCAACATAAACAAAGTTCAAATGAATATGTTCTAAATCAAGATAAACTTACAAAACGAGGAGGACAAATTAAGTTACCTAAAAGGCTGGACTTTTAGTAGATACTAGATATAATAATTGTTTTTAGTCTTTAAATTAATGAAGTGAAGACATAAAAGACTCATAAAGGTGGGAGGATGTTGCAAATGGACTGTGTCCAGATGAGTATTTAAATTAATTGATTGATCACATGTTTTTGTTTACATTAGCAATTACTGCTATTCTTTTGATTGATTGTTATAGTTGCCCTTGAATAGTGATGTTTGATTAAAATTGGAAGAATCTTTGTTCTATGTGTTTTTTAGTTTATAGTTATTTTAAGTCTAACCCTCTTAGATGAGTAAGTATCACGTTTTAACACACTTTTTGAATAAGGGTTGAAATAATTACATGACAATATCAGTCATTCCTCATAACTAACTTGGTTGCTAGGCTGAGTGATATTTTCCACTCCTGGGTAATCTAATACTTAACATACTTAACTATACTAAACATTACCAATTGGCAATTAGACCTAGTAGCAAAACCACAACATTTGATAACAAAAAAGGCAATAAAAATAGGAAAGAATAGCTTGCTAATTAGGAAAAATATCACCTATAAGTATGAGGAAAACTATTTCCACTGAGTCTAAATTAAAAACAAAATGAACAGTTGAAACATCAGGTCAATGTGTACGTGAAGATGGCGCGAGACGAGACACAAACCGTTTGAATAATGGCTTCTACTGCTGTTAAGTGGACTATTTCTACGAATCAATCAGAGCTTGCAATTAGGCAGCGATCTGCATTCCCAATGACAGACATTAGCGGTCGAATGACACGCATTTAAGCCTTTTATTATTGAATGGTCAGTGAGCAAATTTCATTAGTTATTTCCAACTGTGGAACGGTTATTACGATTGTAGAGCCGACCTTGGCGCCGCTGCCATTACAACAATCATCCTAATGGCCTGACAGAAAAACAATAATGGCCTGAGCAGAGACCTAACCCATCGGTGTGAGGGCTATTTGGTCCACTGTGTCTCTGAGATCTTTTATAAATTCAAATGGCTTTGGACTAATTTTTTTATTCAAATAGTTATTATTTGTTGTTACATGTCTATTTTCAATAAGATACGCTTGATTGATATGCATTATATTTTCTTCTTTTATTTGCTCAATACAATGTTTTAAAAGTTTTCAGATTATTTGTAATTATGGACGGACACTGGTCACTTCGACACGGTAATATAACCAAACTATTGATTGGAACTCTGTTGTTTTGTAAGTTGTTTGTTTTGTAGCTTAAACCAACACAAAACTTGTACAAGCCAGTTCTTCCAATAAACAAGTTAGGTAGAAAATATTATTACATAAAATATGGCAGAGCTAATAGAAAACTTAGATTTCTTATTATTACCGCAGCGTTAAATTTAAAATGCAATGATTATGCATCTAAGCAGTTCTTTGTGATATAGTAGTTTTTATTACTGCAACAATCTTAACTTATAAAATAAGTATTATATTGAAGAACGATTTCTCATGATTCACTAAGAAATGTTTAAAAATTATGAACTGAACCTAAAACTGACATGAAAAAAAATTAAATAATTCCTCATGGTATTCAACTTGAGACAGCTGGAACATAATGATAAGATAGTGACATTGATAAGCCAGTGGGTTGGAGAGGGAGGGCTGCTGGTTCAAAACCCATCATTACCCGAGGCAGGGTCATTACATAAGGCCCAAACAATTTGTGCGACCATTTTGTCATTGGTTGGAATTGCTCAGGCCCGAGCCGAGCCATTACAGTCCCACAGACAGTCGTTGATGTAATTGAAACGATCCCAATAGATGCCACAGACATTCCAACACATTCGGCTGCCAGGAAATATAAAGCACATTGTCACAAGAACAAGACAATACTGTACAGGCTGTACCTACGTAAATATTTAGAATTAATCTTTGATTAACTTATAACTAATAAGTAGAGTAAAAAATGTCCTTTTTTATTAATTGGGAAATAAAATTTTACTACTTTACAGAAAATCTATGAATCTGTTATAAACTAATTTTTTAAACACTTGTGAAAAATAAAGCAGCAATGAAACTGGTCTTTAGTTCTCACCCTCCTAGGACCATTTCTTAAAAATAGAAATCTTTTAGCTATTTTAAGATGGCTTGGGAAGTGTCCACAGATAAAAAAGGAATTAATTATGAGAGTAAGTATTGTGATTATATGATTATTTGATATTGGTATGTCATATTAAAGATAATTGATTATGATCTTAATCTTAAGCTCCTTTATGTTTGTCTCTAACAAAAAATAGAACAATTAATTTCTTAACTGGACTCAGGAATAATACGTAGATAATTATTTGATACTGAACTGTCATTGATGTGGGGTAAGGTTTTTCTTGTAGGAAAGTGAATGAAGTACTCCTTCAACACATTACTAACTTATTTAAAGTTACTAACAATTTTACCATACCTCTTGATTTTTATATTTTCTTTATTTAAAAATATTTTAACACCTCAGACTTTATGACACTCCAAGTAGTTTTGTTAATATTTTGAGATTTTTTAACCCTATTGTTTAGGTATTTTTTCTTTGTTAAAGAGTATGATTTTCATTAATAGTATATTTATTCCTATAGATTTTGAACAACAGAGAGTCATGTGTCAATCTGGCCTTTTTGCATAAATCAATAACCTCTTTAAAAACAAAATAATAAATAAGCTCTTTTTATGAATGGCTTAAAATTTTATTTTTCATGTTATAAGAGCCAAACATCAACTAAATAAGTCCTAGGCTTGCCTGAGAGTAAGAAAACCCTTTTTTTTAACAACTTAGTCATCAATGAAGTAGTGAACAATGAAGTACGTAAAAGATGTATAAACATTATTTACTGTATTCTTAAGTTGTAGGAATTGCTTTAGGACCAAGATGATTTACTGTATTTAAAATTTAAGTCACGATATGTAATGTACTACAGTATCACCTGGTAGTGTTGTTATCCTCCAGAAACTTGGTCCTGTTGACAGGATCCATGTCAGCCAACTTGTTCTCAAACACTCCAGAGAACGGGATCATGGTTGAGCCAGGGTCATTCTTGTCAACCCACTCTTTTATCTTCACCAACCTGGTTGGAGAATACAAATATTTAAAATCTTTAATGCTTTTTCATATAAAAACAAAAACTTTTAAGAAGGGATATCAAACTATTTAAAAATGTTATGCGTTAAACAATGTACGTAATTTTTCAACTTTCATTAACTTTACATTATGTTTTCAACTTCTATATACATACAAACTACTTACTTAGCATTTATATTTTTAATTTTTATACCTTTTAAGTGTTAGAAAGTATTATAAAATAAATTAACTAAAGTAGTCAAGAATCACAAGTTAATAATTTTTACTTCTTATTGTATCTCTATAGCGAAATTCCGATCAACGCACAGGCCAAACCATACCACCTAGAAGCATGAAATTTTGCATACATATTCTTCTCATAGAGTAGGCAGACAATAAGAAGCGATTTTACGAAATTCCCAATAGAAGGTCAAAGTTAGCATAGAGTTCGTATAGGAAGAATAATTTGTTTAACGTTTTTGTTTACATTTTGCCTGCAATTTATTTAATCATCAGCTGTTAGAATAAAAAATTAAGTTTACTAAGGTTATTTCGGACCATATAAACATCATAGTTGTATGCCAGTGAAATTAACCATAGACAAAAAGAATTAAATATAGACCGTCAGCTGTGCTGCGGTTACCATAGGTTCTGGCGCACACCGCTTGGAGCGACATGTAGTTACGTGGTACGCGCTACGTAAACTACAACGGTGTGCACCGGAACCTATGGTAACCATGGTAACCGCAGCACGGCTGACAGTCTATATAAGTCTTTTTGACTATGAATTAACCTAATTAGTAGTTATTACTGTCTCACAGTACGGGCACTGAGGTTTTAAATGTTAATGGCGAGTTCGTTCCACACAATCACAGGAGATGGTGCGTGTTTATTTACTTCACTCTCATTCATAATTCACCTTACACACATACATTCGCTAACTGTACGCGAAGCAATTGATGAAGATGTTGTGAGAAACTGGGTCTACTTTTCAGTCTTATCCCAAGACAGTGACGGGAATAATTAACTTAATTCAAGGGAATACTTCTATGAAATGACTAAGCCGTTTACCTTTGGTAGGTTGTGTGAGATGGTTGACAAATATTCACATTTCTTTTCGAGGTTTATTATCGAATTGGTGAATTATATTTCAAGTTTGGTGATGAACTATAATCCCTTGAAAAGACTAAGATTTACACAATCCCTGTCTAGCAGGCACTTCGACATTTATCTTCACAAAAATGTACCTAATTGAGGCCATAGTTATCACAGGATGTGCCCGATGGATGGGAATCAGTTTTTATACCACGAATTCCCCTGGTTCCTACGGGCTAACCATTTAAAGGTTGCAATTCCCTTTGAAAGTGTGCTTCGCCCTCACAATTAGCAAAGAGCAGGGGGGACAGTCACTTAAGATCGCAGGACTAGACTTGAGAGAGGATTGTTTTTCTCATGGACAATTTTATGTTGTATATTCACGGGTCAGCTCAGCCACGAGTCTGGTGATGCTAGCACCTTCTGAGAAAACAAAAAAATATTGTATGCTAAGATATTCTGTAAATAATCAAAAGTAGTACGAACAACGAACACACTGTTAACTGCAGTTTTATTCGTTATCGTAAAATGAAATATAAAAATTAATATAATTTATTGTTTATTTAATGTGATTTATTTTATCATAATCTGGCACTTAAACACTAATTTATTAAACATTACAACCAATTTGAAGGTTTCCGTGGAGAAGCACGGGTTTTTCGCTATGTACGGGTTTTTATGTATGTACGCCGTACGATACTCAGTGTTGGGAGCACTACTTTTTTTGTAGCGTTAGCTGTAGCTACGCTACTTTTAACATTTAGTAGCTTCAATATTGTAATTCAATATTGTAAAACTTTTCGAGAACGCAAAGTAAACAATTGAATTAATCATATCATAATGTTCTTTTTACACAGAAATAATTTGCTGAAAACCTTTTGGAGATAATGTTATTATTATTAATTATTATATATTACAAGTATCAATGGTATTTTGGAAGGTTTAATCACAATTTTGGTTAGGTTGCTGTACTTAGATTAAAATTTAAGAATGCTAATAAGTTTTACCACGGTGTTATCTCCCGATTCTGACTATCTTTGAGAACATCTGACCTGTGAATTGACACCAGTTGAGAGATAAGAAGTATCAGCATCAAGTGATGGACCAAAAATAACAATTGTTCCAAAAGCCAAACCACCGAATGAGTTTTACAAGGGCGTCCAAAAACACTAAACTACCAGGCTCTAATATGATGAATAAAACTAAAACAACCATTTGTGAATTTAAAACTTTATATGACTTTGAAGGATTACCAAATAAGAAATCAATGAAAAAGTTAATCATCTTCGCTAAAATCAATTTCTTACCAAGCACATATTTTTAATAAATTATGGAAATCCCTTATTAACTGACACATACGTTCAAACATCAATACAAATATTGCCCAGAGGTTTGCAAAGTTTTAAACTTTGTTTATAGAGATGTTTATAGAGTAAATCTTTGTTTATAACATAGAAAAAAGGGGCTGACATGGTTCCAAAAATGAACATTAATGATAAAGGGAGATGCTCTCTCACACAACCTACAAGAGACATGACCTACTCAAAATGGGAGTGGGAGAGTTCAAAAACAAATATAAAATTAAAATACCATTCTACACTAATCTTCTACATTCTTAAACAAAAATGAAATGTATAAAAAGAAAAAAAACTGGAACACACCATTAAACAACTTTTAGAAGTAAAATGATTTTGTTAGATGTTGATCATGATTGACTTAGTAGGGGTGTGCGAGTTCTTGAGTAACTGAATATTCTCGAGTGAGTTTTCTCTGCTTGACTCAATTTATTTAAGAAAACTCATGGAGTTGAAATTTTAATGTGTTATCTAGAAACATTTATATTCGTACAGTATACCAGATTAAACGCACAATCTGATTAAACTGCAGCAAGTTGTTATTTTACAACTCTGACAGCCAACTGGCCATGAAACACACGGAAATAAAGTTATACAAATTTAGAAGGGAAGAAAAAATAACTTAATTATAATACTGTGAAGGAAAGACTTGAATGAAATAATGAAATGACAAGTACAGGTTCCTAGATCTGTCAAATAAATTACAAAAGCATATTTTATAGGTGGTAAGGACTTGGAGACGGAAGTTTTTTGTTTGCTCATATAATTGCCGTTGCTACCCTAAAAGGTAGGAACATATAGTCAGAAAGCAGAGAGTTAACAAGGGCTGTTTTACTTTCCAAAGCTGAATAAAAACTTGCAACCATTTTGTTTGAATTAAACAGTAGCTAAAATAATTCCTTTTGCGACAACATAACAGAAAAATCACATTTCTTTGTCTATTGAACGGAAATTTCAGGAAGCAGACTGTATTGTCAAGGAAAGACAATATTCAATATCAAAAAGGAGATCAAAGACAAAAGAATCTGTATCTACACTGGTAGTTAAACAGCTCTGAAAGTTCTCAATGAGTTCACAGTTCAACTCCAAGCTTGTCTACCATTTGTCTTGCTTTTATCCGAATTTGAAAGGAGAAATGATTTGACATGTTATTGAGTGCCTGGTCATTCTGTTGTAATGGGTAACGAGGCTGCTGGAGACTGGCGAATGTAGCCTCAACAGCAACATCATTCTCTCCTGAATCGTCATAGGCCACTAAAGGTACATTGTATGAGATAGACTGAAACAGTACTTTTAAGAGTACGCATACTCATCCATCACACACCTTTTATAAGAAACCAAAACATGTTGCAGTATTTGAGTTTTTATTATAAAAACTTATGTTTATGTTACTTGAAGTTGTTCTACTCTTCAAAACGGGAAGTGGAGCGAGTGCCAACCTATTTTTTTTTGCTTTGGGGGTCATAAACTGAAAAAACAGTCAGGTAGGCCCGAGTGTCGTCTGACTCTCCAGAAAGGAGACAGGATACAGTTTCTCACCTGGGCTACCCTGATATCGATTGAAAATATTGATTAGATTAGTAAACCTAACATTCGTTCATTTTTTTATAACCTGCTAGTTTGGTTAGGTTATATGTTAGGTTATAACAGTTTCATTTCATCCCACAAACAAGTATTGCCCATTCTGCCCCACTGGGCGATCTTTCCACCCCCATACCCGCCACACCATGGAACCGGTCACTGATACCTGGCTGGCACTCGTACCGCCAAGGCTCAGGCTGTAAAATGACCCTTGTCAAAGATTTTAGGCAACTGGCACTCGAGCCTGCAATATTGTAAAACAGATTAAACACAAAATTCATAACAATACATTTCTTACCATTTGTTTTTCTTCCTAATGTAGTCTTTCTCAGAAAGGTTTATCAAGTATATTCCAGGTTTTGTTGTCAAGAACATGTGTTTATTGAGCATTTCTATCTGAAAAATAAAAGATTTTCAGCATTTTTGAAACCTAAAGTTGGTCATTCCCCAGCACAGTCAAATTAATGTGTCTTGTGTCCTACTGTACTGCTTAGCTGCCTTGTACATAATTTTCAGAGCTTTAAAAGCCTTGTGTATAGACAAATGTAAGTATTAACCCTTGAGCAGGCGCTTCACCAGTAAAACAGGAGCGGGCGCATGTGGAGTTTTATTCTGCAACACTAAATAGCACAAACTTTACAAATTGTTTGTTGTTATAATGCAATATTGTATGTAAATGCTAATCAGGAATCTAATTTCATTCATATTATATAACTAGCTGTACCCGCAAGCTTTGTGCCAAAGGCATGGATTACATTAATATATTTAATGCCAGCTGGTTATAATTCATTTGTTATTGTTTTGAACTTATAATTGTTACTATGAAAATACAAAAACTGTGAACCAAACTCTTAACTTATTTCAGTTTTATTTAACCTTTAATCTTATAAAACTAACTAACTTTAAACTTGAACAACTAACTATTTGACATGGTAGCAGAGCTGCAACGATCCACCTGTAACTGATCTTTATTTCACTTATTTGTACTGTCTAACTTCAACTGAACTTTGAACATGACGACTCGACTGAGGAAGAAGGCTGCCACTCTCACGGCACGTGTGAAGTCTACCCTTACAGAGGTGACTACACTGCTTAACGCCGAGGACCCTTCGAGGAACGCGCTACTAGCGACGCTGGCAACTCTGCAAGGCTATTCAGCTCGCCTAGAAGCCTTGATGGAACAGATTGACCTAGACACAGCCAACGGGTCGGCAACTGTGGAGGGTACCGACGTCACCGAGGACCTTTTTGGTATCGTACTTGACAGTGAGCAAGTAATATCAACCTTGAAGGTAAGACTAGAAGCCTTCAACACGAAAGCTATCAATGATCATACCAATAATTCAAATGGTCTTTCGTCCGAGCGAGTGTTGGAAAATCCACGCAGTTTAGTACAACTGCCTAAACTAATCCTTCCCATGTTTGAAGGTAACATTCTTAAATGGCAAGAGTTCTGGGACTCGTACAACTCTGCCATTCACAGTCAGCAATATTTAACTAAAGTAGATAAATTCAATTATCTTAACTCCCTTTTGAATGGAGAGGCCAAACTATGCATTGCTGGTCTACAATTAACTGCTGACAATTATGACGTTGCCATTTCTTTACTCCAAGAAAGATTTGCTAACAAACAACTCATAATCAATTCGCATTACAAAGCCTTGATGGACTTAAGTCCCTTAAAATCGAACGACACTGGAAAACTTAGGAACTTATTCTATGTTATTGACAAACACATCAGGTGTCTACAAAACTTAGGCGAAGATACCAACTCGAATTTCTTTTTTTTTTCTCTGATTATGAGGAAACTTCCTCTGGATATAGTCATAAAAGTAGAGGAAAACAACGTAGATAATACTCTTGATGCCACTAAATAATGTAGTATAGTAAGAAATATAATCGTAGCTAGAGAAAAGTCACAACTTTTATTAGGTTTTGGATCAACAAAAACTTCCATCCCACCATCAGAAAACGGAAACTACTTTCGTAGCTCAGAAAAAGGTAGTTTTTCAACTACACAGGCCCTTCCTTCGACCGAAAACAGAACTGCAACCTGTATTTTCTGCAAAGACGCCCACTGGAACGACCAATGCCAGAAGTATAAAACTGTTGAAGAAAGAAAAGGTAAGGTCAAAGGTCTCTGTTTTATTTGCCTGAAGAGTGGACACAATTTAAAAGATTGTAAGGTAAGCAAACCTTGTATATATTGCAAACAAAGGAAGAACCATCATAGAAGTCTTTGCCCCAAAAGATTTTCACAGTCTCTTAAGCCTCCCGAAAATTGTGCTGTCAATCCCGAAGTCTGTAGCGAACCTTCTCTTGTTACTGTTCATGAAAATGTGATTTTGCAAACGGCTAAGGTTTATTTGACGAGTAATGGCTTGACAGAGCCTGCTAAAGTTTTGTTTGATACCGGGAGTCAAAGATCTTATATCTGTACTAATCTTGCATCAAAACTTAAACTAAAGAGCGATAACACTCAAGTTTTATCTGTATTTACCTTTGGTAATAAAGATGCAAAAACCTTTGAAACACAAAATGTAACTACTGGACTCATACTAAGTGATGGTAAGGTTTTCAATCTCAGTTGTAATGTAGTGCCCCAAATCACGGGAAAGTTAAGCAGTACCTCTAGTATTGATGTTTCCCAGATACAATCTCGGTTTCCATCCCTTACTTTTGCCGAGGGTCAAAATGAGGATTCAGTCATTGACTTGTTAATAGGAAATGATTTCTACTTTGACTTTATAACTAATGAAAAGATCGAAGTACACTCTGGTTTGTATCTAATAAGATCTAAGGTTGGCTGGATTTTAAGTGGGAGGGAAAAATCACCAAATGATGCAAAATCAAACACTTACTCTACGTCCTTTCTAACTATGTCACAACCTACAAATGTTTTTAATTTAAGGAATCATTTTGTGGAACCAGACTCACAGTTTGTACAAGATTTGCATATTAAAGACCTATGGAGTTTGGATAGTATAGGGATTCGTGATTGCCCTCATCAAAATGATGATGCTTTAGGTAAGTTCAATGACACTATTAAGCTTGAAAATAGTAGGTATTCGGTTGGTTGGCCTTGGAAGGAGTATCCCCCTGACTTACCAAAAAACTACACTTTGTCACTTTCAAGACTTAACTCACTTTTGTACCGTTTTAAAAACAATTCTAGTGTGCTTGAAGAGTACGATAAAACAATCAAGGATCAACTCTGTAACGGAATTATTGAAAAGGCTCCTCCTAACGATGACTTAACAGTTTGTCACTATATCCCACACCACCCAGTTATCAATGAGTGTAAAATCACAACGAAACTAAGAATTGTGTATGATGCATCATCAAAGAGTAAAAAGACAAAAAACAGTTTAAACGATTGCTTGTACCGTGAACCGGTAATTTTAGAAGATTTGTGTAGTCTATTTCTCAGATTTCGTATGAATCCTGTTGGTATTGTTGCGGACATCGAAAAAGCATTTCTACAATTAAATTTACAGGAATCTGACAGGGATGTCACTCGTTTTTTGTGGCTTAAGGATACATCCTCTCTTTCACTAGACAACAATGTTGAAGAGTATAGATTTTGCAGAGTACCATTTGGAGTAATTTCTAGTCCTTTTCTATTGAATGCAACTATACAACATCACTTACTCCACTCTCAACTTTCTGGGGTTTCTGAACGTTTGAAACATTCATTTTATGTCGACAACATGATTACTGGAACTCAAACCAGTCAGGATGCGGTTATTCTTTTCCAAACGAGTGAAACTATTTTTTCACAAGCTAGTATGAATCTAAGGGGTTGGTGCTCTAATTCTAAGCTATTTATGGCAAGTATTCCTGATGATAAAGTTACTACTGAAAATGAAAACAGTGTTTGTGTATTGGGAATAAAATGGGATACAATCAAGGACACGCTCTCTGTAAAACCAGTTAAAGTTGAACCTTGTGTTGTAACGAAGAGGAATGTACTGAAACTAGTAGCTTCCATTTTTGATCCTTTGGGTTTATTATTTACTCCTGTAGTTTTGAAAGCTAAGTTATTCATTCAAAACTTGTGGCTTGAAGGCGTTGATTGGGATGAAGAGCTGAACTCAGAACTTACAAAGGTATGGATGCAGATTCAATCAAACCTACTTAAAATTCCTGAGGTATGTATTCCAAGATATGTTGGAATCATTGGTGATACTTTAGAGTTACATTGTTTCACTGATGCATCTAAAGATTGTTACGCTGCAGCTGTTTATTTGCGATTAAAGAGTAATAATACATCCACGACAAAATCAGTACTTATTTTCTCTAAATGTCATGTAACCCCCAAGTCAAAGCCAAACATCACTATACCACGATTGGAATTACTTGGTGTTTTAATTGGGGTGAGATCATTGAAGTTTACTGAAACTGCGCTGAAGACTTCTGTGACACAAAAAATACTTTGGACAGACTCACAATGTGTTCTCCATTGGTTGAATACAAATAGGATACTACCAAAGTTTGTTGAGCGAAGACTCTCGGAAATTAAATCACATACCGATGTAGAATTTCGTTACGTACCTTCTAGTAACAAACCTACAGATTTGGCGACTCGCGGATTGACTAATCATGAGTTACAGGAGAGTCAGGTATGGTGGTCAGGCCCAGAATTTTTACGTTCACCGGAAAATGAATGGCCACGAAATGACTTTAATCAAATCACTTCAATGTCAGAACAAACTTACCAAGACACATCGAACACTTGTGAACTACCCACACCTAACCAAGAAGTTATGGCTTCAACTCAAGAATCCACAAGTAAAGAAAGTCCTTTTGACATTGATTGTACAAAGTTCTCGTCTCTAGATAAACTAATTCGAACGACAGCATATTGCAAACGAGCTATTAAAGCATTCAAGAAACTTTCAACTCCATTTACATTCAACAAATTGAACTTCAAAGAGCTTCATGAGTCTACTTTATGTTGGTTGAGATACATACAAAGCTTACATTTCAGCACTAGTATTAAAAGCTTAAAACTTGGCAGGACTGATCATCTCCAAAAACAATTAGGGTTGTTTTTGGATGAATATGGAATATTGAGATGCAGAGGAAGACTTCATAATGCTTATCTGTCATCGGAAATGAAATTTCCTGTGCTTTTACCTAAAAATGACCACTTTACCAATTTGGTAATAAATGACTATCATGTAAAACTACAACATGTTGGTGTTCAACACACTTTATCGGAAGTCCGAAAACACTATTGGATTATTCAAGGAAGATCTCAAGTGTCTAAGATTATCAGACAATGCAAGAAATGCAGAAGATGGGATGGAGGTCCATTCAAAATGCCGTCTTTCCCTCCCCTACCAATGGAACGTGTTACCCAAAATATTCCTTTTTCATACACTGGTCTAGAT